AAGGCGGCACCCCGGCCCCGGGAGAGAAGGGGAAGCGGCCACCCACGGCCCTCCTCCTTAAAGGGCCAGCGCTTCCCGGCCTGACTTCGCGCTCGAGAGACCCAGCCGGGGAGACGCCGGCCGGTCAGGCTTTCCTGCTTCCTTCGCGTTCTTCTCCGCTGCTGGCCGGCCGGCCGGCTGCGTTCACACCTGGGACACAGCCCGAAAGGGGTTTGTTCGATTCTGCCTTAGCGAATTGGTGAACGCAGCCCACGGCTTATGCTGCTTGCGTTGTGCAATCCCAGGCAGTCCTCCGTCGGTATTTATGACGAACTCGAAGGGCAGATGGCCATTAAGCAAATCCTGACTAAGCATGATAAACAGACCCCCTTGAACAAACGTGTTCCCCTTTTCCTGCAAGGGCTCTTCGTGAACCGTGTCCCAATTCAAGGGAGAGCCTTGTGCATTTGGGGACCCTGAGAAATTCCAGCCCAGCAGAACCCCTGAGCAATTGATAGGGCTCCAGTTTTCTGCCAAGTACAGTATACCTCTATTCCTTCCTTCTCTCTGACCATGCCATTTGCTCCATCTTGTTTGGGGGCATTGTGGGAAATTAACATGGTAGCTAAATTTGAATGCTAGCAGCCAGGGAAAACTTCCTGGACAGGTGCAGATAATGTGATAATGTTTTTTTTTCTATTAAAAACATAAAGAATTAACTGTAGGTTGGATTGGATTGGATTCCTGTGTGCAGTCCCAACTCTAGGGTGGAGTGTATGCAACTCCTGGAGTCTAGGGTATAGGTGACCCTAACCTATCCAGGCCTTGATGTTAGATTTTTAATGTGACCGAAGGGAAAATTGCTAATTGCATTAGTAATAATCCTAGGTATGTTTAGCTAATCAAATTTAGGTTGGGAGCTGGCTCTTAACTCTTCTTTGTTCCAGCCTTTTCTATTTTGGGTGTGCGTAGCTCTTGCACGCTACTCAAAGACTGGAAATGGTTCATTTTGTGACCCAGCTCAAAGATATCCAAATACATCATCCCATATATACATAATACAATAGCTGGGAGTTGGGCAGCATATGTATAATAATAATAATAATAATAATATTGTATTTCTGCATCACTCCTCCCAGAGGCAATAAAGAATACAACAAAGTCTATATGATAGTGTGTGTGTGTGCACGTTCAAGTCAGTTTTTAACTCCTGGCAACTGCCTGGACAAGTCCCTGCAGTTTTCTTGGCAAGGTTTTTCAGAAGTGGTTTGCCCTTGCCTGCTTCCTAGGGCTGAGAGAGAATGACTGGCCCAAGGTCCCCCAGCTGGCTTTGTGTCTAAGGCAGGACTAGAAGTCATGGTCTCCTGGTTTCTAGCCTGATGCCTTAACCCTACACCAAACTGGCTTTCTATGTACTATATATCTACATACATACAAACACATACATAGATATATACATACATATTTATGTACTGTGTATCTATGTGTATATATCTGTATATGTGTTTGTATATATGCATATAAAGAGAAGGAAAGATTGTCTATGTGCATATATGTGTATGATGTATGTGTATAATAGTCACTTTATGTGAGATGGGCAGCTCTATAAATAGGATAAATAAATAAGCAAACACACAGAGAGGACTTTGGAGAAGTAGGACAGAAAGTATTGATGCTTTTAAACTTTCGTGCTGGAGAAGTCTCCAGAGAATACCATGGACAGCCAAGAAAAGAAAGAGATGGACCATAGAACAAGTCAATTCAGAGTTCTCACTTGAGGCACAAATGACCAGGCTTAAATTATCATATTTTGGGCACATTCTGAGAAGACTCAACTTCCTTGAAAAGTCTGTAATGCTGGGAAAGGTGGAAGGAAAGAGAACAAGATGACTACTAGCAAAGTTGATGGACTTGATTACAGTGGCCATGGGTGCTGTAGGGCCAGATTGGAGAATCTTGGAGAAGGTCTATCTGTGTGGTCCCTAAGAGTCAACACAGACTTGATGGCACATGATCAATTGGTAGTTAAAGGTATTCAACCTCTAAATATAGAGATTCAGTTTGTAAACTGAATGACTTCCTTCAGTCCTGATTGTCTCTGAACAGATGGCACTTTGGAATGGTGGTGACAGCATACACACTCATACATAACTTGAGCAGAATTAGAAGAAGAAGAGGATCAGGATACCACCACATTATTGTTTGGAAAGATTCCCGTGGACTTTAAGAAGTACATGTTCCTCAGGCATCCTGAAGGAATTCAAAGCCAAGTTCTTGAATAAGCATATCAGCAGGATGGAACAAGGAAGGGGAGATGAGATAATGGTATCCCTGACTTCAGTAAAGTTTCTGCTTTTTATCATAAAGCTGGCCCTAAGTGGAGTCCTTGGGGTTCTCTGAGCTTGGTTCTTTTCTTGCAAACATTTCATTATCCGGTTAGGTAACATCTTCAGTGCTAAAATGGGATGGGGGTTGCTCTCTGTTTATCTGCTGTGGCCTGCCTTGCCAGTGCTGGTGGGGATGGGGGTTCTGTTTTGCTCATCTGGTAGTTCATTGATTAACATCTGTTGACTGTTTGATTGTGTGCCTGGTGGTGACCTTTGCTTATCTGGGTGATGATTGCTGGAGATGATATAAATAATCGCAGAACAGAGGGATCCTGAAGAGGAGTTTTATATTCATTAAGTGGGAAGTTGAGAGCACTGAATGAAGGCTTTGTGCTCTGGGTATAATTCTAGCCTTCAAAATCCAGATTCCTTATAAAGAATGTGGAATCGTTCCAAATATGGGTTCCCTTGTTTGCATCCCCCAGTTTCTATATTTTATTTGTTAAAAAGAATTTTTATTAATGCAGTGTCTCATTAATAAACATTTTTATGGTAATCATCATTTTCAAGTTGGGGGCATTATATAATAGAAGAAAAAACTACAGTTGTGACATTTTTTTTTTCATTTATATCAATAATAGTGGTTAATGGAGTTTGCCTGGCTATAGGATATCTAAACTCACTGCACTGGACCTGGTGAGCATGTTGTGTGATAACAAACATGCTGACTGCGTAGATCTTTCAACTTTAAATGTTGCTGGTAAGCTTGTATAAAACAAAGACACCTCATTGCTGTGTGTGTGTGTGTGTGTGTGTGTGTGTGTATTTATTTATTTATTTATTTATTTATTTAT